ATAAAGCGTTTGCGGGGTCTGGTACTGCTTTTCGCTGCTACGGCTAACTACGCTGCCTATATAGATCGATATAATTAATAGCTCCGGCGCGGATCGGGTAACATATGGCCTGGGACACGGCAGAAGAAAGAAGAAGGACATGGAACGCGGATGGCAACAGGACCAGAGGCGGGGTGGGAGGGGGAGGGCCGAAGAAGAAGGAAAGGACGCTGAAAGTGGGAGAAGACGAACCGATTCCGAAGGTACTTCTCCGCCTGCCGCCACCTTAGTGTTGACCGTGCGGTCCTAGCGTTGAATCCAAAGGGATTAAAGGCGAATAAACGAAGACCGCGAGGGTTCCCGACGGCGGCAGAAGAGAAAGAAAAAAAGAAACGAACCCACGAGTGCCTCGCGGCATGCTAATTCCTACCTGGTGGCGTCCCCAAGGCCCTCTCCGCCCGAGAATCCATCCAGGTGAACTCGTTTGGTTCCGATTCTACGACCACTCCCGTCGACGTTACCGTGATTTTAGATTGCGTGGGACGTTTCAATGTAAACAAGGTGTTTGCGATACGGAATAAACTTAGGTGGCACCGTCGAGCACGAGACCGAAGTTCCCTTTAGGGTAGACGGAAAACGTCGAGGAATTTTGTGTTGGAAACATACCTGGGGGTCCTTGAAGAAATTCGGATCGTTTACCTCGGTTTTCTTTCATATTTCAACTTTGATCGAGGATCGGCACGCTTTTATATATTTACAATTACGAATTTATTCGGAATATGGAGCGTACGAATACTCATAGGACCGACTGTATACCATATATAATTCAACAGTCTCCTTAAATGCACAAGTTTCTCTACGATAAATGGACAGTAACGTGATCCGGGATCGGATATCTCGATGAGACAATGCTAATACAGCGATCAAACTTGTTTTATTATTACCGTTTTTGTTGTAAAACTGTTGCCATCATATTCCTGACATTTTTCTGATTGAAATGAGACCAAACACGACGTAATTCGCATCATATTTACTACATGTCTCACCGAAATGATTCCGGTGCTGGTCGCCATTTTCGCATGTCGCTCCGTCCTCTTCTTCATTCCCTGTCCTTCTCTACACTCGAAGTTTGTTGGGAACACATTCGAAGATACAGTACGACTGAAGGAGCCATGCAAAATCGGAGACCCAAAACATTGCACTCGAGTGTTTTTATGTGTTTACACTTGACACGAGTCGAGCGTCGAACGTAGAAAAGGACAGATAGTGAAAAAGAAAGAGGTCCGAGATCATATTACGCCGGTGGTCGGGCCTACTCGGGCAAAACTAGGCAAAAGAAATAAGAATGGGCTGGCAACGGGGGGGTTGGTATCTGACGGACATACTAGCAAACTTTGAAGCGTTATAGCTTGAAAACTAATAAAAATCGGGTAAATACATTCAAACTTAATGAATACGTCTTGAATAGTACTATCGCATGGTATAAAAGAAAATATATAGTTCCATTTGAAAAACGAAACTTGACCGTTACATCTCGTTAAATAACAAAGTTAACAAAAATTCCTTTGCGCTTGAACATGCGCCCCATTTTACCATACAATTTTCATATTTGAAATTTTGCATTCGGCCGATAGTTTTAGAGTTAGAGCTCTGCATCACTTAGGCTGGGACACCCTGCATATAAAATTAATAAATAATTCTTGACAGTAGAACGCGAACGGACTTATTAAAGAACCCGACAGAATCGGTCCCAACGCGAGCAGTTCTTTGAAGCGTCCGTCCAAGGTGGAAGTTAATTGGAACGTAAACGGGTCCCGGGGACTCGATGGCTCCTACCGCCAGGCGATCCGGATACGTGCTCTCGGTTCGTAATTTTCGTGCGAGCCGATGTCCTCGGACAAAGAGAACGTCCAACCCTCGAGAGGCAGTTATCATTTGCATTCCCTCGTCGGGCGACGCCACGTGCCTACCGTGCGAGTCGTTTACACACCCTCCGCGCACGCGAGTCAAACCAACGGCGTGCTTTGCGCGCGGCACGCCGTGTGTTTTGCATAATTTCACGAGCCGTACACATAATCGTTCCCCGCCAGTACAAAACGCGCCGGCATTTCGTGTCGCGGGCTGCCCCGCGACCCACCGGGGCCGGCTTGCACGCATTAGCATAAAGTTTTCAAAATAACGCGCCGCGCGCCGTCATAGAAACCGACACGCGTGGCCCCGCACACGAGCCGGAAGGAAGCGATCCGTGAAAGGGTTCGGGTTTGCGTCATGAATTTCGACGAGTCTCACCTTTTCTCGACACCGTCTCCGAGCTACCCCTAACAGAAATTCGCCGAATAAATAAATTAAAGGGGAAAGGTGAGGATTCTTCGAAGGACACGCGACTGAAGGGGTTGTCTTTTGCTTTGAGAGCTTTGAACGGAGATCATTTGGTATTCTGGGTATGATGGTATTCTTGTGTCAGAATGGGGCAATGGAGGTAAGTATGAAGTAAGTGAGGTTACGTGGAAATATTCCCGGAGCAGATGAAGGCCGTGAGCTGTTTTAGGAGGTAATTACGCTTTCGATACAGAGTGCCCTTGTGGATACTACTCCCTTAATTTTGATTTGAAAGCAAAAATGGTTTCTAAAGGTTAGTCGTATAAAGAATGAACCACCAACGACCTAAGAGATGGCGTTTAAATAAACCCAGACGTACGAGTCGATATCCTATCAAAAGATATCGTTAAGTTCCAGCCATTATTAACACTTTTGATCGAGCCTCAAAGTCTGAAATATAAAAAAGAAACTCTCTCACTTTACAGGGAGTAGCCTTTGTCGCGACGCTCGCACAAAAGGCGCGAAAACGTAGAAGGCAGAGTTCAAACACCGCGACGACGTCTCGGCGTCGCTAAGGAATCAATTTTCCGAGCGAATATCCGAGCCCTTTGTTCTCGTTTTCCTTCCATGCGCCCCGGTTCCATTCAATCCGTCAATTGCGTCGTTTAGGGAATTTCGTGGAGGAGGCGATGAACTGGCAGCGAACGCCGACCATGACCACGTGTACAATGGTTCCTGCAATCATCCACCTTCCCCCACGCAACGCGTCGCGTATAGATCGGCTCTATTGTTGTGTCGGGGACGCATCGAAAAAGCACCGCGACTAATTATCGCCGGGTTGATCGACAAAACCTTGGAAAGTCGGGTAGAAGTCACGTAACAATTACGAAGTCATCGCGTCAATAGAACGCTGGCCCCCTCGCAGTCTACTCCGCGCCATTGTTCTTTCCTGGGTAATTGAACTCTCCGAGTTGGGTCTGAAAAATTAGGTGAGCTAGCTGTCGCGGTACAGATTTGGGCGACTCACGAAAACGATTAAAGGTCTATTTACACATATCCGTATTACGTCAGTTCCGTATCCGTTCAGTTCCGTATCGTTCCATCAGTGTCTGGAACGATACGGAATCTCTTGTGTGATCTCTTTGGAACTCGAAGTGTCAATAAAATGACAGTCAGTGAGGTAAAGGTGACCTGATTCTCAAATCTCAAATTAGTTTGCGATCATGGATCGCGCTACATATTCGTAGTCAATCATTCGCTTAGCATTCGTGGCAGTAGAATGCTAAGAAAGCGTTTCGAGTTGCTGATACCAGCAAAGAAAGCCTCGAGCGCAAAGGGTTAATTCGAATACTATTGCGAAAAATTCTGGACCCTATCCAGGTTAACTTCTGTCCGACTATTAATGTCCCAGCTGTCGCGGAACATCGTACGATTCACATGGGGAAAAAAAAACGTAACACGTTAATTTGACGGTATTGGACGTGTGTATGGCGCGCACGCCTGCCGTGAAAATCGGTGGGCGTCAATATTAGATGACTCGTCGCGTCGATACATTTTGACCAGTGATTTTTAAATTACCGTAAAGGGTTCGAGGTAAGTACTCTTCTACTAACCATCGAAAGTGTCACCTTAACGTAAAAATCTGTCACTCTTATGTCATTCTCGACGTTTTCCCACGAAGGAACCTTTTAATTTAAACGATAACCGTGGCTTGAACCGTGTGGTGAACGTAATATCTGGTATAGCGAAAGCTTATTCTTTTTCAGAATTCGTTTATCGATTCGCGTCGATAAGATATAAATTTCGAGATATAAAGTATTCACAACCAACTCTCATAAATAACTCTCATAATTTTGTTACGATTCAAGTCCCAAACTTTTGGCCCACAAATGAAAATTGTCTAACAGTCTAAGAATCAATTCTCGATACCAACATATTTGAAACTATTTTCGTCCATCCACTCATGTTTACTTCATTTCAAATCAAGTTCTTAAGCCTAATAGTTAAACAAAATAATTGATAAGAACATACTTGGAATTTTTCTGTTAAATTCATGCAAGGTTTACATATAGATGGAAACTATGCACGTCATGCTGCCTCGTTGCTTGGATCGTTTTCCACGTAAAATAAACCTGGTTTAATTACCGCGTGATGCACGACGACCAGACGAACAGGGTCGTAATTCGTTTCAATGGCCGCTGTTTACGCAAAACTCGCGCAATCGATCCGCGAGGATACCAGGAAACGTGCTTTCTTCCGCGTTGAATATCGCTCGGCGATCAGCGAACGAGCTACCTACGCGCGCGTTTCAAACTCGTGCGTTTCTCGTCGCGAAACGACCATTCTTATAATAGCGCGCTACTTGCCTTAATAAACAATGAGCTCCTCTATTCTGGAAGCCTTGCTCGAGACGAGCGTACGACAAAGACTATTTAAATGCGCCGCTTGAGTTCACCTTCTGTAACCCATGTTATCTACTCTTTCTCAAGAAAATTGTAGAGCGTAGAAGAAAACGAACGTCTCAAATGTGGTATGAGTTTTGTATAAGCGCGAACCTTCCAAATGTATTCGTGCCATGATGTTGGAAACTGTAAATAAATACTACTCTGAATGTTGTTCAAAAGGATTATTGATTTACATTAAAAAGGGAATAACGCGATATGTGTTCCGAAGGATAAATAAGATTTTTTCGAAAATGCATACGTATATGTTTTCAGAGCGCACACTGGGTTACACAGGGTTGACGGCAACGACTTACCCGAAAACACAGCCGGAGGTGAGGGGATGAACCAAATAAGAGTAGGGTGCAGGGAATGAAAAACTTTAAATAAGAAGAAAAACCAAAGATTAATCTTATGATAGTATAGCTTTATTTTAGACTAGAACGGAAAAATAATATAATATTAATAATATAAAATAATAATAATAATAATAATTAATAATAATAATAATAATAATAATTAATAATAATAATAATAATAATAATAATAATGATAAACTATATACACAAGAATAGTAGGGGCCGACATACATAACATTGTTTCTTGTACGTGTACGTGTCAGTATCTCATGTATGCGTTTATTCGCGCGTGGTCCAAGTGCGTGAACGCGAATCCGTGTTTGTGGTGTGTGTGTGTGTGTGTATGCGTGTGTACGTTTGTTTGCGAGTTGTATACGTGTCGTGTCGGTGAAGAAAAAAAGCGAGAAGCGGAGCCACACCCTCGTCGGCTGCGAATACGAGCTCACGCGGTAAATAAAATAAATTGAAAAAAACGAAAAAGGAAATGGACGTACGTCGGGCGTTCTTCAAGGTCGAGACACTCGAAACGAGTCGTTTCGATTGCGTGGGCAGGCGAGAGTGTGACTATCACAAAAAATAAAGGGAAACTCATAAATAACTAACGCATAAAATAATAATAATAATTAGTACTAGCCCTGATTAAGATCGATGTCATCGTAATGGCAAATAGGATTCTCTTTAACGTCGTACGTGGACGCGAAGGGGAAGAGGGCAAACGTATGAACGCGAAGGAGAAGTGAAATTTCAACCCTTCGCACACCACTGGCGTCGCTGCGGCGACACCGATAATACGCACCACGCGATACGAACAACAGATTTCAAGTTTCGCCCGTGGCAACGCAAAACAGAACGAAATAAATAAAATTCTCGTTTGTAAAAATTAAAAAAAAAAAAAAAGAAACTATATTTGATTGTCAAAAGTTTCATACGCGGCAACGCGAATAGAATTGAACATGCAAAATTCACGTTGCGAGCATTTACTAATTAGTTCAAAGGGTGGATGCGCGTGCTAACGTCCAGAGCGTTGCCACAAAAATTGTCTCGAAGTCCCTGATCGTTCGTATCGAAAATAATTCGTGGATTGCAAAGGGTTAATTATGATACACGCGTGCCATTGGTTCCTGGGAGTATAGTTGCGCCACTAGCGATTACGTATGTGCTCCACGGAGGCCAGAATGGGGACCGTTCACGAGGAAGGGGCCCCATTCGGGCCTCGGATAACAGCGGAGACTTTTGCGAAGAATATTTACAGTGAATGCTTCGGGCACGATAAGGTGGGCTGAGGGGGGGAGGGGTGGGGGAGGCATCGAAAGATGGTACTCGGCGCTGGAATGGCTTCGCGGATAAGTGACGACGACGATGACCACGATAATTAATAATGTAGAATCGAAACAGGGAGAAAACAAAGGTAAGGAGCGAGGAGTGGGATCGATACTTCGCTACGCTATGTAGGAATTAAAAAGGCAATGTGTATTCTCCGTTCTTTCTGACTATACTATAATGCATCAAACGCTTCGAGTAATAATCGAAATGGATAGTACTAAGAATCCATTATAAAATATAATAATAAAGTTCGTAATAATTTCTATCTCTCCGGGCTTTTCTTTTGCGATGATCGTTTTCATTTTAAAACGGTTTTAATGCTTCGACGCACGCTCTCTGAACTCGCTCGCACTCGCATTCTCGCAAACGTTCACTCGCACGATCTCTCACTCGTTCGTCTCTTTCGCCCTCTCGCATTCTCTTTTTACGCTAGAATAGTCATCTGATAGGAACTTTCAGTATTGCCTAGCTCTGGATATATTATATTCGCACTATACATTGTAAACGATTTTTCACGAAAAGGAAAAATTCTCATCGTACAAATTTCCATAGTTGACGGGCCCCCTAGAGTATCACACGGGCCAAATTGTACAGGTGTAAACGTATACACGCGGTATAAACAAAGAACACGTGCACACATACAACGACGTAAACTCGCGCGAGTTCGAAATTCATTTGTCCACGAAATTACAAAACGAAAGAAAAATGATAGAACAAGAAGAAGAAGAAGATGTAACAGCTCCGAACGACTCGCGTTTAATCGAATAGAGGCAGTCGTAAAACGTGTATCAACGCGTGCCTACTCTCGAAATGAAAAAAATAAAAAAAAAAAAGTAGAAGAAGAATAGACAAAGGAAAAAGGAAAAAATTGATTTCTAATCGATAACGTTTTCATCTGGTCGCGTAAAGGATCAGAATTTCGAACGAAACGCGGGTCGAACGGTCGCTTACGAGTCTAAGAGGTCAGCCAGACACTCACCAGCCGTGGTGGTAGCCGTGCTAGCCGTCGCGGCGCCAGGATGCTGCTGCTGCTGCGGCTGGAACATCGCCGTAGGGTGGAGGAACAAAGATCCGTACATCATGTTTTCGTCCGTTTGCTGTTGCTGCTGGCCAGCCTGCTGATTGGTGGTCCCGACCACCGACGAATTACCGATCCCTGGCGTGCCACTGTTGCCAGTGGGAACGATCGGTGCACCAGGCGTCGGTGGCACTAGGCTGCCCTCCTCGACGGCGACGCGGACCGACTCGATGTGCCGCCGCGAGAAAACGTGCTCCTGCAGCGGCGACTTGGCCGAGTATCGAACCGAGCACAGTCTGCACTCGTCGGGCCCGGTTGGTCCGCGATGCGGTTGCACGGCCGAGCCCTCGGCTGGCAAGCCCGCCGCCAACCTGGCCTTCTTCTCCTTTGCACGGGCGTTCTGAAACCAGACCTGCAACTCGTTTCGATTAGACCGCAAGCTCATCGAGATCGGGACGATCGCGAGCAACGGGGGTTCCTCTCGACGCGAGACGCTCGGGACTCGGCGAAAAGCTGCCAAGGAAATTTTAGGCTAGCAAAGAATTCAAAATCATTTTACACAATTTAATCAGCCATTTTCGAATCCCAAACGCCACTCGACGAGCTCACAATCAGGTTACACTCTGGATCGCTTACCTGAACCACGCGCTTCGGCAGACCGATCTCGCGGCCGAGCATCTCGCATTCGGCCATGGTCGGTGTCTTGTAGTCCGAGAACAGAGACTTCATCACCTTCACCTGGGTCGCCGACATCTGAGTGCGATACCTTTTGCCGCTGGATTGGCTGGTTCCACTGCCAGCGCCCGCCACCGGGGTGAGCGGTGTGCCGCCTGCTCCCGCGGAAGCCGGACCCTGTCGCGAGCTTTGGGTGCTCGACGCAGGGCTCGCAGGTCCGCTCTCGTCGTCTAGGAATTCCGTGGTCTCGCTCATGCTGTCGTCGTCGCAGATGCTTCTTTCGGAGAGATCGGTGAGGGGCCCGCAATCGCTGCCACCGCGAAAATGCACGCCGTGCTGCTCTTCGAGGAGGTTGCTCAATCCGCCGAGGCTGAGTTTCATCGGGCGGCTGAGATCTACCGGTTTGCTCAGATCCAACGGTGATTCGCCGCTGTTGTTGCCCGTTTGATGGTTGGACGCCTCCTGCTTGCCGTTGATCGCGTGAGCTTGGAGCTCGCTGATGTAACGCTTCATCGACTCTTCGTAGTACTTCTTCAAGGAAGCCTCCATATCGGTGTTGAAAGGCGGGAACAGCGGCGGCATCATGTTCGGGGTGCTAGGATTCGAGGGCGCGGATTCCATCGAGAGTTCCTCGTCGGGGATATTATCTATGTTCACCTCGCCGCGGGCGATCTGATCGGCGTGCTTGCTGCTAAGATGGGACTCTAGCGCGGATTTCACTTTGAACAACGCCGGACAGAACGGGCAGCGTTTATTGATCACTTGGCTGTGCGCGCGAAACTGACCCTTTCGTTCGCGGGCGCGGGTGTTTTGAAACCAGACCTGAACGACGCGTTTCTTCAAGCCGACCTCACGAGCGATCGTCTCCAGCATCTTTCTCGACGGATTCGATTCGACCTGATACTTTTGATACAAATAGTCCAGCTGTTCCGGAAGTATCGTCGTTCTCAGACGTTTGTCTTTGGGTTGTTCGCTGTGCTCGGAGTTGGACCGCGTCTCGCTACCCGTTCCCTCCTCGAAGTCCTCGTATTTCCGTTTTCTGTCTTGCATCATCGCGATCAGCGGATGGGAGGTGTCCGCGGCGACGCCTGAGGTCGCGTTCAGCGCTTGTTGTTGAAGAATGCCGAAAGGCGAGTCCGGAGGATAGGCTGGCGGGAACAAGGACGGGTTCATGATATGTACTAGCTGATGCTCGCGCCAGAGCTCGAATCGTCCGAACATCAGGTTGCATTTGTCGCATTGAAAGCTACCCTCCTTAGACTCGGCCTGCGACTGCGATTGTTGCTGTTGTTGCAGCTGCTGCTGAGGCTGCTGATGCGATTGCGTCAACGTCTGTTGTTGATGATGAGGGGATGCGGTAGCGTTCAACGGTTGCTGAAGTTGCTCGGCGAGCGCCGGCGCGTTCGTCGGGTTAGCGGGCACAGCGTTTGCAGTGGTGGTCGTTGAGCTGCTGTTGCTATCTTCGGAACTCAAAACGGCGGCCACTTGAGCCGCGGCGGCTTGTGCTTGCGCGCTTCTCTTGGCATCCTCCTCTTTGAAGCAGTGCGTCTTCTGATGCCGAATGAGTTCGTAGTATCTCTGAAACACCAGTAAGCACTTTTTACATTGGTAATTCAAGCCCGGAGTTCTTTGAAAGCGGCCTGAACCGTCGTCACTTTCGCGGGTGCCGGCTGTCACGGGTTCGGCAGCGGGTTGATTCTCATAAACTTTACGTGCCTTCTGTCTAGCGTTTTGGAACCAAACCACGATTACGCGCGGGCTCAATCCAAGAAGCTTGCTCAGATATTCCAGATCGTCGTCTTTCGGGTATGCGTTATTCTCGAAGAACTCTTGAAGAACTTTGATTTGGTAATCGGTGAATCTTGTACGATTCGCTCGTTTCCCAGAGCTACCGCCGGAGGAATTGCTGCCGTTCCCGTTCCCGCCGAAGGAATAGTCCGTCGGTCCGCGACCAGGGCTCAGAGATCTCTGCGGCGTCAGAGCTATCGCTGCCATGGCGCTCGGCACGACGCCACCCGGTCCAGGGTTGGGACTGGCGAAATTCTGAGGTCCAAGTTTCGGTGGAAGCATCGGAGTGCTCGGGGCGCTGGTCGTCGTCGGTATATGCGACGTGACGTCGTGATGAATGCTAGGAAAGACGGAGCTAATGCTCAGAGCTGGCGAATGAGGTCGTGACTGTTGCCCGCCCGAGCTCCCGGGCGAATGATGCTGTTGCTCCTCCTGGTGTTGCGAGTGCTGCGGAACGTGACATTGCGGTTGTTCCTGAACCTCCTGTTTTATCTCGCTGGTCTGAGACGCGTTGATATTAGTCGTCGACGGCGGCGGGGACGCTTGCTTGTTTGGACTTTTGTCGTCCGAGGAACTGCTCCCCGATACGCTAGAATTCAGCGGTGTCACTTTCGCTTCCCCCGTTTTCTCGTACTCCTCGAGGTTCAATGTTGTGCTCGGAGGATTGTTGAAATTGTACGGACTGTCTTTGTTGCGTTGACGCTCTTTGAACAACGTGTTTCGGAACCAGTGTTTGATCACTTTCGGTGGTAGGCCGCTCTGCGCCGCCATGTCCAATATCTGCTCTTCACCGGGTGAATTGTTAATATCGAAATGCGCGCGTAGTATCTTAAGCTGTTCGTCCGTTATGCGAGTGCGTGCTCGTTTCTGCGAGGCAGCCACGTTTGCCTGCAAAACGAAAAAAGATTTACCTGTGCTTTCTTTCCTTGCACGAGCTTTCCGTGTTCGAGAATGTAATCTACTTCGTCTTCCATATTTCGATTACTTTGTATTCGCGGAATAGCGTACAGGCTCGAATACTCGCGTCCGATGTTACGTAACTCTCGGCATCAGTAAATGGAAGGATCGTTAACGTTCGCGATTTGCATAACGAAGTGGCCCGTTCACCGCACAAATTTATTAACTCCACTTTTTGGAAAACCTTAAATTTATTTGGCCATTGAATAATAAATCATTCATTTCAAAGCCCGTTACATCGCGTTTCTCAACTTTTTGTTTTATGGATTGTTAATCGATTTGACCAAATATCAATGAATATCAATGAACATCAATTAATCGAAATGCTATTTTATTTCTAGAGTATCAAAGAAGCCCATCGGAACACGGAAAGGCTGCTAGTAAGTCCATTCGCGACATTGGTAACTAACCTGCGAATGTTTATGCATTCATGACAAATGGAGATATGGAGGAATCCAAGACATATTTTCATTCAAGTTTCAATCCTTTATCTGCATCTAAGAAAATATGAATTTGCACAAACATCCGCAGTCTACTAACACGTTGTTGACCGGTCAGGAGTGAACTCGTGTTTGCACTTGCGTGATCTATTTCAATTTATGAAACCAAGCCGGTCAACAATGTGCTAATAACAGAAAACTACAACAGTCGACAAATTACTTACGGCTGCAGCTTGTTGCTGTTGCAAAGCGATGTGTTGTTTGGCCAGAAGGTCAGCTTGAGCGTTGATAGGCGGATACGCGGTGGCAGCGCCGTCGTACGGAGGCGGAGGTAGCATCATCGGCACCAGAGGTGGTTGAAGATTCATGGCGGCCAGAGCAGGAACGTTCAGTCCCAGCGGCAGACCCATCATCCCCATCATCAATCCTGGATACTGTTGAAGCTGTTGCTGTAGCTGCGAGGCTGCCATGGCGTTCAGAGCAGCTTGCATCTCGGTCATTTGCTGAGCCAGAGTAAGCTGAGCGTGCTGCTGTTGCTGTTGTTGCTGCTGCTGTTGTTGTTGTTGTTGCTGCTGCTGTTGTTGCTGAATGTGATGCGTGGAGTTGGTTGTCAGCACGACTGGAGTGGTTGAGTCGGTGCTGGAAACGGGCGTGTTGCTCAGGGCTGGAGTGGTAGCAGGAGTGGTCGAGGTAGCCTCTGGAGTCTTGCTGACGCGTTCCTTGCTCTCCGCGATCTCTTCTTTCTCCCGTTCGCGTTGTTCTTTGTCGGAAGTGAGATCTTGGGGCTGAGCGGATGCCGGCGTGGAACTTCTAGGCGCGGACGACGTGGAGGAGGACGTCGCGACGGTGACCACGACGCTCTTCTTCTCGTACTCGCACTTGAACTGCTGCGCGTACTTCTCCAGAAATTCGCGAGGCACCAAGTCGCGGTGCACCTCCTCGCAATGAGCTTTGAGGACCCACACGCTGCTAAATTCCTTGTTGCAATGCTGACAGGTGCTCTTCGTCAACTCGGGTATAACGTCGTCGTCCGTGTGCTCCTCTGCTTCCTCCTCCCTTTCGCGAGCGGCTTGAGCGGCGAGCGCTTGCTTCTGCTGCTCCTGTTTCTGTTGTTCCTGCTGAGCTTGGAGCGCAGCCGCGGCTTCCTCCTCCTTTCGTTGACGTCTCTGATGGTTCTCGTTGAACTGCATGACCAGGTCGAACCCGAAGCTCTCCAGCAGGTGCTTGTACATTTGCGAGGTCTTGTGACGCGGCTGCGATAAAATGTCCTGCGTCGTTTGCGCGGCGTGTTGGGCGCTTTGCTGCATGTGTTGCTGAGGACCAGGCGTGGTGGACGTGGGCGGTGGTGTCTTGGCTGGCGCGGATGGAACGAGTTGCTGCGACGCGGCCAGTTGTTGAAACAGTGCCAGAGGATTGCTGAAGATGCAGTAGAGCTGTTGGTGCGTGGCGAGCTGCTCCTGGTTGACGAAAAGAGCGCTGCATCGAGGACAGGACAGCATCGTCCCCGTGTTGCTGGCGTTGGTGTTGATGGGTGGACTGTTTGGACTCGTCGGTGGTTGTTCTATCAGAGGTCGTGCGAGGTCTAATTGACCGCTGGCGGCGAGATCTGGTAATTTACTGGCTCTAGTCTGATGGAGCACGCTTCTCATGTGAATGTCCAAAGTGCTACCTTGAGAGTAGGCTACCTTGCAGATGTTACATTTGTAAGGCTTCTTGTCTTGATCTTGCTGGGAATCGGGCGACTCCGTCGGACTAGCCGGCGGTACCACCGAGATCAGCGTGTTATTGTTACCCTGCTCCTGCATGGCTCTCTTCAGCTTGTGCAGGTGGCTCACGCTGTTGTAGTGAACCAAGAGTATGTTCTTCTGGGTGAAGCTCTCCTTGCAAACGTCGCACTTGTAAGGTCTGTTCGGGTCCAAGTATTTCTCCATCGGATAGGACATCTTCTCGCCTTTGCGATGCAGCAGGGTCTTGTTGTGCCCGGTGAGGTAGCTCTGCCGCGTGAACGCTAGTTTGCAGCGATGGCACTTGAACTTCCTGCCTGGATCGTGGTAGGAGTCCTCGGCTACGGGCTGGCTGTTGAGATAGTCTTCCAGCAGACGTTGTTCTTTATGCAAGGGCGACGAGTCGCTGGCATCGCTCTCCTCCTCCTCGGCTTTGCTGGCATCGTCCTCGACGTTCTGCTCGCCGGCCAGATTACCCTGTCTCCGCAGGCTCTCCTCGGTGAGGGCCTGCAGAAGCGGGTGAGCGTGGAGCAGGCTCTGCTTGTACTGCGCGAGCTCTTCCTCGTGCATGTCCGCGTGAGTGGACTCCAGGTGTCGTTGAAGCGCCTGAACCGAGCGAAACGAACGACCGCACAACGCGCACTTGGTCGCGTCCCTGATCGCGTGGTATTGCGAGTGTTGCTGCAGTTTCTCCAACGTTTTGAACGCCAGGCTGCACTGGCCGCATCGATACTTGTAAACGTGTTTCTCGCTGACCGCTAACGTGGGCGTGGTGGCGGGATGAGACTCGCGATGGTGTTGTTGCAATTCCTCCAAGGAGCGACAAATGCGGCCACAGATGGTGCATCTCGTCAGCTCCTCGATCTCGTCGTTGGCACTCCGCTCGCTGAGATCCTCTTCCTGGCTGGGCTTGCCGCTGGCGGTGGGCGACGTTGGCGTGGTCACCGCCGGCGTCGAGGTGTTTCTCGGATTGTTGTTTAACCAATGGCTCTGATCCACCAGCAGCAGCAGCCGTTGCAAACCGTCCGAGTTGACCGAATGTATTTGCATCACGTGCTTCTCGAGCGCGGAACGCTCTCTGAAGCCGTCTTGGCACAACGGGCACAACAATTCAGGCGGTGGCTCCTCCTTCACGGTCTCCGGCTTCTCTTCGGAATCCTGAACGTGGGCCACTTGCAAGTGCTGCCTTAATTCTTCGCGCGACGTTGGCTGATAAGTGCAATACGGGCAGGTGACGTCCTCGTGTTCGTTCTCCGGTTCTTGTTCTGGTTCCTGATCGTTATCCGGCTCTTGCTTCACCTCGTTACCGCAGTCGCTGCCTTCCTCTCGTCGTTCTGAAAAATCGCAAAACGGTTCCGCTTACGGTAGGAAGCCACTGTTCTCGGGAATTCGCGATATGATTGCGGGAGCTAATTTTCTTCTAATACGAGGGGAATTAAAGACCTTACTTGGGGTAGGCGAAACTATCGCATCGAATAATATCGGCTCTTGGCTTATGCACCGTAATTTTCGGGAACACGCGAGAGACGAATACTTTTACTATTAGAATATTTCAAATGCAATCAATGGGTTTGGAAAATGACATTAAATACCATCCATTCGAAGTAAATCTACGTTAAGCTTTGACTGGCGCAACGTAAATTCGTACGTCTTAATATCCCAATTACTTTCTTTCGATAACCAAAACGTGTAATTCCCCTTTCTATCGAGGCGTCGATAAATCGTCGATCGACGTTGAAAATCATAATAGCCGAAAAAATAACCATTAATCTTGCAGCTGCACGTGAACAGGGGAGTATATAAGCCGATAATGTTGCGAGAGAAAGTAAATTATGTGTAACGGCAGCGAAAGTGTTTTATACGACGACGCGAAGTTTTCGTCCGATGATAAATTAGATTTACTTTTTTCCAACCGGTATACGTTATTTTTCAATTATCATCCCGTTGGTATCTTTGCGTGGAAGTATCGTTTTTGATGAGAATTTAGAAAACTATAATTTGTGGAGTACATTTAGATTGTTAAACGATGCAAGGTATTAAAAAAAAATCGACGCAAACAATAACCGTGCATTTGAAGACCAGAATGAAAGAACTAATTACCGCTACCTAATGCACGCAATATTACAATGTACTGCATTGTGTTACAAAGTTGGACGTGACATTCGCGGACTATTATTAATTAAACTAGCGACAGGTGTAACCGTGACTCAGTCTAGTAATCCCATCGCTGGAGTAAAGCAAAGGTCGATATTACGGTATATTTGAAAAGGTTTTGGTAACGATGAAGAGTAGGAAGGGTGATTCGCGGTGGTGTGCAGATATCGCAGATGCTTCTTCGTCCAGTGTAACAATACCACTTGAAATTACAGATTGCCGATACAAAATTATTGACGGAGCCGTGCCAAGGGGACGAAAGAAGCGCGTCTGTTGGTGAAAGCGAGACGAGAAATAAAGGAAGACCGCCTATTCGCGTGGTCTGGTATTGTCCGAAACCGCATTTACATCGAACGGCGTCAGTTGCGAGAACACAACGCGACGAACCAACGCGTGCTGCTGGTTTCTCTTCGTATATTTATGTAAGTACAGGTCGTCGATATAATAACGCTCAGCATTGTGCGTGGCGCGATACACGCCACGGCCATATGCCACGCGAAATTACCGTCGTTGCCTGCTAATTACGCGATAATCGATGAAAATACTGAATTCATTAAGGGTGCGACGAATACTTTCTACCCAGCTGTGAGAAATTTTCTTTAGATCTGGATTTTCGAAAAAAAAAAAGAAATTAATTTGTCACTTGTAAGAGTCGATTTTGCTCGAATAATAGGAATGAAAGCGTTTCACGATATCATAATAATCATCGAATTCTTCTTTCTTTTAACTCTTTCAGACCTGAAGTTTTTTTCTCGTACTAGTGTAATTTGATTTAACAACAAAATCCTAATAGCGTAGTCTTCGAGGAAAACTATGTTTCGGTCGTGACGGTAATTTAAAAATTTTGTGTTCTCACTTGTGAACGCCAGGTTTCGAAAGGGTTAACGAATTTATCATCTTTATTTTAACGAAATTTCGGACCAAGTATTCGGATCAACTCACCACTGTTGGCGGTGGTGGCATTCGGAGTGGTCGGCGTGGTGGGACTGGACTGTTGAGTAGGCGGTGCATCGGGATCGCTGACGACTTGGAAAACGTCGCCGATGTCGGTGTGCGGGGTTTCGTTCCCTTGGATGCCGCTCCGTCGATGGAGCTGATGCAATTGCTCCATCTGAAGGTGTCTGAGGGACCGGACGTGCTGGAGCAGCGGCAATCGGTGTCTCGCGCTGAATCCACATAGAGCGCAGTGATACAATTTCCCCTGCGACGACACGTTGGCGCTGGCCTCGAGCAGGTGACGGAGGAGCAGAGCCGCGGCCTCGTGTCGCGGTGAAGCCGCGTGGAGCGCCAATTTATGAGCGCTGTTGGTGTAATAGTCGCACGCGTGACAACGCAATTGCGCGGCGCTTGTGGGCGACGCCAAGTACTTGAGCTTCCATTCGTTTCGGGGACCGCCCTCTTTCACGTGGTTCACATGCTGCAGACGTTGAAGGTGCTTGTCGGTTTTGCAGTGTAGTTGAAAGTTCGCCTTTAGGTTAGTTTTATAGGAACAAAGTTTACAGACAAAGTGACCGGCGACCAGAGCGAGGATCTCGCCCTCGCGCGTCCGCGTGCGATCGATGGCCAGGTGGTGGCCCATGGCTTCCAAGGAGTCCGTGCCGAAGTTGTTGCAAACGCAGCACTGATAAAGATGGGATGGATCGGGATCTGCCGGTTCGGGCGGTGGATCCATGCTGTCGGGCGAGAGACCAACGTCTCCGGCGAGGTTGCCCATCGCGCCCATGCTCGCCATACCGCCCATAAGTTCTGGCGGTAGTTGCGGTGGCAGCTGACCGCCGGTCATCATTTGAATCAGCAGAGCTTGATTGTACGCCATGTCCGCCAACGCTGCCTCCGCGTGTTGGGGCTTGTCCAGCCCGCCGAGATGCAGCAACTGTTCGAGCTGTTGCTGCTGATGTTGTTGCGCTTGCTGATGGTGGTGCTGTGCCTGCTGATGGTGGGACTGCAACGCGGAGAGCGTCTGCATGTGCTTCACGTTCTGCTGCAGCACCAGCATGTTGTGCGTGTGTTTCTCGCTGGTCATGTGTATCCTCAGATTGCGCGCGACGTTCGTCTCGTAGTTGCAAACGTCGCAGCGAAACGTTGGCTTCGGTTTGCTTTGGTTTCCGGGTTGACCGGCGATGTGCGGGCTGTGATTTTGCTGATGGTGGGGACTTCTCGTCGGCATCGGGGCGTCTTGAGAGGAAGATGGATTGTTGGCGCCCGAGCTACCGCCGCCACCTTGCTGAAGCTCCTGCATATTGTTTAGATGTTTGTCGCTCTGCATGTGAATACTGAGGTTGCCCTTGGTGGTGGTGGAATAGTTACACACCTCGCATCTGTACGGTTTGTATCCGCAGGTGTAAGTCTCGCCACGCGCTAACCTCGGATGGGGTTGACCGGCGATGCAGTATATGCAGGAGGTCTCGCTCTCCGGGTGCTTCTCTTTCATGTGTATCTCCAGAGTTTCCTGGTACTTGTAATGCCAGTTGCATTTAGGACACTTAAGGGTTTTGCAAGAGTTCCGACTGTGAATGCCGGCCAGGGGTCCACCGGGACCGGCCAGTCTGCTGCTGGCGAGGATCAGTTCGCATTTCGGGCACTCGACCCCGCTAGGTCTACCTTGCATGTGCTCGGGACAGACGCCGATGGTCGTGCCCGTGAGGAAATTGGGTGGTTGCTGGGTCAGAGCGGCGTAGGAGGACGGTGAGCCTTTCGTCGAGGAAGTTGGCGGTGGCGGTGACGTGTAATGGATGCCTGCAGCGTCGGGCGCCTTGGCCCAGGATGCGGCGCTCACCTGAGCTCCGGTCCATTGGTGTTGCTGCGTTTGTTGATGATTGTACGCGAGAGGATGATTCGAGTGCGACGTGGGCGTGGTTGGTGTGCTCGGCGACGGCCTCTGTTGCTGTTGTTGTTGCTGTTGCTGCGGACTGCTCGGCACGCCAGGGGTACTCGCAGGCGTGCTGGTCGTAGTGGGTATCTCGTGATCGTTCGCTTCGGAGCGTTGCTGTTGTTGCTGACTCTGCATCTGCGCGGGTGACGGTTGCGAGCAGGTGGAGTTGGTCACGGGTTCGAGAAAACTGACGAGCGGTTGCTTCCCTCTGCCCACGGCTTGAATGATAGCCGACGCGGTCGAGTGGGAGAGCACTTGCCTTTCGTCTTCCATCAGGGTGAGCTGATGTTCGCCTTGAGCGTGCGCCACGAAACTTTTAGCGTACCCGAAACTTAGCTTGCATATGAAACACATAAGAATGGGTTTCACGGGCACGGAGGCGGCCGGGGGCGGCGGGGCTGCCGGTGGCGGGGGTGGCTGTTTACTACCCTCCGCGCTTCTGTAGCTGATCACCCGATAGCTGTGCATCACGGGAAGATCGGGATTATGCTGTTGCACCGTCGACCGTTGCTGTTGCTGTTGCTGCTGCTGCTGGTAGGCCTGATGCGCGTACAGCCGCGAGACGTAGTACGCGTTCGCGATCTGAGGAAATACCAGAGAATGAGGAACCGAGACACCGCGCCCGTCTACGATGCAACCGTCTGGCAGAGAGTCGTCTTCGCTTAGCTCGCTCTCGCCCTCGATGATGTACGCCGAGCCATCGGGATTGTAGACGATCTTTCCGTCGAATTTCTCAACGTCGCCGCCCGTTGGACTCGGGCTGGGGCTTGGACCCTGCTTCTCTTGTTGCTGGCCCTGCGATTGCATTGTCATGGTAGTGGTGGTTGTCGTTGTGGTCGTGTCCGCGATAGGTGTAGGCGTTGGTATGGCATCGCGGGTGCAGGGTTCCGTGCCCGAGGGTGGACTGGCCGTGCGGGGGTGATGGGGCTGGTGCAGCGCAGCCCCTGCTGCCGGGGGGGACCCGCCCCCTCGACCCCCCTCCTCCTCCGGGCTCATCTC